TACATGTACAAGCACGGTCTCCAAATAGTCTTGCATTTCAGTGCCATCACCATAGCCTTACCAGCATCACCAAACTTTTGGCTAACCTGATTTTCATTAACAATTCGAGAGCTTATTATTAAAGAGTACAGGCAAGAGTCTCTTGTACATCCTAATACGTTAGGAACAGAAAACTCACTCGTCTGTAGGTCCCAGAAGGCGTAAACTTTTCTCGTATCATGATTCCTACCAAAACAACTAGAGAAGGCGGCATACTCAGAATTCCAAACACTCCCTGCCAGAATTGAGCAAAGAAAGGATCACGATTTGATTAAAAATATCGCCCTGTTTGGTAAAATAGTTAGCCTATAGGCCAATTTTGGCTTATTTGATCACTATTAGTTGTTTGACTTGATTTAAAAATCAATATAAGTGTTTGGTTAATTAGCTTTTTGTACTCCAAAACGCTAAAATTCAAAACGCTACTCAAAGCAACTTTTTCAATTAGCTTATTGAGAAAAGAAATTATACCAACAGCTATCAGCTAACAGCTAATTTACCAAACACCTTTCTACAATAAGCTAATGTTATCAACTAGTTATACCCTCTAATTAACCCAATCAGCTAACAACTAACAGCCATTTGCCAAACATGGCCATATAATCTAGGTTGGGCTATTTATCAATTATATCCAGCAAGAAATAGTCTTATGTAGTGATGTTCAACAAAAAAGTAGACAACTCAGAAATAAGTAGAGCAAAATAATTTAGTACATTACCTTTGATCCGATTAGATGAACTAAAAAGCCACTGATCATATACCCAATTAGTTGTCCAACCGAAGAGCTCCCTCCGCATAAGCTTTGCATGTCACCAGCCAGAGACGGATGGCTTATGCTGTTCTCGGTTACACAGGCATCGATAATCACATCCGCTATTGCAACCCCAGCACTGCCAGCCATTAAGCATAACAAAGCAAGTTCGATCCGTAATTGGTTCATCGATAGGGTAAGCATGGCAATGACACCGAGGGAACCTAAGGAGCAAAAAGAATTGGAATTCACACAACAAAAGCATAAAAGATTAAGATTAAACAATCATTCCTCTTTACATAAACATCTTTGGCTTTCTTAGTTTCTTTGGTAAAACATGTGAATTACAACAGGCTATTCTCATTTTGATTTCTGATAGAAGCACACAATATCATTTTGAATTCCAATAAAGGGTATTGCAACATTTCCAGAAAGAGATTAACCCAGAAAACATAACACAATTAACTCCTAAAGAACAAATTGGAAGGAAAAAAAAGAAACTCAATACCAGCAAGAATGAAGTAAGGCCTTCTTCTATATCCAGCAATGGGAAGAACATCAGTAAGCAAACCCCAGAGAGGCTTAACAATCCAAGGGAGAGATATAATTCCAGTAAAAATCTGAGCTTCAGAGGGCTGTAGCTTTTGCTCATCCTTCATATAGTACTGAATACTAATCCGACTCAAACCCAAACTCAACCCTTGATTGATTCCATAAACAATCACCACTGACAAAACAAAGCTCCAATGCAGAACATCACTGAGCTTCCTAAACCAATCAAACGGCCTCCACCTCCACCTCCAAGTCCAATCATTTGACTTCCTCTCCTTCTGGGATTGACCCTCAAGGAGAAAGGCCTCGTCTTGGCCCATTATTCCGCCGATTCTGTTCAAGAATTGATGGAATATTAAAGACCGAATTGGGGAGTAATTGAGGAAACTAAACAGAACCCATCGAGATTGATCTGTTATGGAGATTAGAAAATAGAAACGAGGAAAGTGAGGGACCCGGAAAACAAGGTAGTTGGCTGCTTTGACTAACGTTAATGACTTCTCTTCATCGTTGCAGCATTGCCTTAGTTGGTAGGCCGGTCGTGGTAGATTGGTACCCGGGTGCCGGCCTGGTAGGTAGGCAGGCAGGCAGGCATGGATTTGGGCTAAAGCCTTATTAAAAATTAATACTGAAATAAATAAATATACTTTGTATTTCCGTAAATAAAACAAGAAAAAATGTCATTTTTTATCCTATAATTATTAGAGTATTTCTAAATTTGGTTCACGAGTTTAAAAATTGTCAATTTCAATCTACAAATATTTAATTTTGGTCAATTTCAATTAATCTGGTCAAATTGTCGGTGAAAATAGTTAGAAATTTTTAATGGATTTATTATTGTTGAAATGATAAGAGCAAATTTGTCTTTTTAAAAATTAGACTGATCAGATCTAATAGGGTATATACTAGTATGATCAAGCATATATGTAAGAGAACAATTGTATTCGATCACCCCCGACCACTATTAACCTTACCTTTCGACCTGACTTCGAGATCCCGATGCACACCCAATTAATTTCCTTACATATTTATATCGTACCTACCACTTTGGATCAGACTCGATTGAGAAGCCTTTTAGCCTAACTGGTCGCCGAGTCTCTTTCTCTGTAACTACCTTAGAGGTATTCCCCAAGTGAAACGCTCAATCATATCACGTCTCATCACTTTTTTAGTCCTTGTTAAATACTTGGCACAATAATTATGACCGCCCAACCAACATCCAACACGTGTAAGGCATGCTGATAACCTAGCATATTCGCCTCACCTCGCATATAAAAAGTACATTAATTACTAGTTGAGGAGACTTTTGACCCATCTCCACTTTAATTAGTTGAGCGGTAGAATAGTTCAAAACACTTAGGCTAGAGTCTATCGACAATTTCGCCGAGTTGGCAAGACAATTTACTCGTGGATTTGCGACCTCCAACTTGGCTAAGAGGTACTACAACCATTTAAATGGAGTCCAATAGAGGGATGAAGACTGCCATTAATGTGTTCCACTCTTCATTAAGGGCGAGAGACCTCTATTAGAATATGATACAAAAGAATGACATACGCTTTGGAAGGCAATCAAGAAATTGATTCAGGTCGGAGAGCTCTCCCAATTCGTCAAGAAAGGTAAGGAGAAAAAGTCTTTGGAAGAAAATATTCAAGAAGGGATACAGAGTCTAAGGCAAAAGAACTCGGCCCCAACAATGATCGATCAACTCCTTCAACCGGCAAACAAGTGATACATGTAATAATCTTCGATGGTCCCGAAGGAGGCAATACCCCGAATCAGCATTTACATTGGTCTCGAGAACTCCATGTATCACTTTAAAGATGATGACCTCCCATGGACTATAAACTTATAAACCTAATTTAAAAAGAAAACATAAGTAAAATTTGTTGATATATAATTTTTAATATTTTTTAGTTTTTGGATTATAGATCGAGCCAAACTTAAATTTATATTTTTTGGACCTGACCAAGCCCGGTCTGAAATCTAATCAAATGGGGCTAACTCGATACAAAAATATGCAGGTCAATGTAGGCCGACTCAAGCCCGTCTATTTGAAACCTCCTCAAAAGTTACAATTATTATACCATGAACCCTTAATTATGGGCTTTTATCTAAAAATTATGTGTTTATAATTAACATATTATGTGCATTCAGTTAATAGATTATGTGTTTGTAAATAAATTGAAGACACTTGTTTTCAAAAAAAAAAAAAATTGAAGACACATATTATGTTGATTATAGACACATAATTAGTTCTATTTGGTAACATAGTTAACTTATTAACCGATTTTGACTTATTTAACCACTATTAATTAGCTATTTGACTTTGTTAAAAATCAATATAAGTGTTTGATTAATTAGCTTTTTGTAATAGCTTATTGCTCCAAAATTCAAAAAGTTACTCAAAGCAGTTTTTTTTATCAACTTTTTGAGAAAGTCATTTTGCAAATAATCAACTACAACTAATTTACCAAAACACTTTTCTACAACCAACTAAATGCTATCAATTAGTCAAACTCAGTAACCTAATCAGCTAACAAGTAACAACTATTTATCAAACACCCCTAATAGGCTAATATATTAAAAGCTTATTTACGACCACATAATTTATTAACAGCACGTTTGGTTCACGGAATGAATTTTGAGATAATAGAAATACTATTCCATAAGGAATGGAATAGGCAAGGAATAGAATAGGAATTGTATTCTATTGTTTGGTCCGCGGAAGGAATAGACTTTAGGAATTATATTACAGTGTTTGGTTGATTTAAGGAATAGAAATGAAATATGTTTTAAAAGACATAAATACCCTTATAAAAATATGTGATGGTGGCGGTAGTGGTGGCGGTGGTGGTGATGATGGTGGTGGCGGTGGTGGTGGTGGTGCTGGAGTGGTAGGTGGTGGTGGCGGTGGCAGTGGTGGGGGCGACGGTGGTGGTGGTGACGGTGACGGTTGTGACAGTGGTGGTGGGGACGGCGACGGTTGTAGCGGTGGTGGCGGCGGTGGTGCTGCTGGGTGGTGGTTTTGGTGGCAGTGGCGGTGGCGGCGACGGTGGCGATGGTGATGGAGATGGCGGTGATGGTGGTGGTGGCGGTGGTGGTAGTGGTGGCGGTGGCAGTGGTGGAGGCGGCGACGACGGTTGTGGCGATGGTGGTGGTGGTGGTGGCGGCAGCGACAGTGATGGTGGTGGCGGCAGCGGCAGTGATGGTGGTGGCGGCGGCGGCAATGGTGGTGGTGGCCGTGACAGTGGTAAAATAGGATAAATTTATATATAGGATAAAAAAAATTAGGTTAAAGAAAGGGATAAAAAAGGAAATAGATTCTAAAATCTATTCCTGAGCGTTCAGTAATAGGCTAATACCAGGGGGCCCTAGTAATAGCTATTACCTTTAGGCTAATACCAGGGGGCCCTAGTAATAGCTATTACCTTATTTGAGGTAATAGGCTATTACCAAGGAATATTATTCCTGGTAATAGAAATGGTTACCAAACAACGGAATAGGCCTATTACTGGGAATGTCATACCATTCTCAGCCTATTCCGTGAACCAAACGGGCCATAAGTGAATGCACATAATACGTTAAGCTTAACTCTGGTCTATCGTATAATTTGACCGAAAGTCAACCATATTCACATATAAATAAAACAATGCCACGTCAACATGGTCAAGAAAATTTTGCTTCAATAGCACCGAAATACAGATGCGTCAGAAACAGTGTCCATGGCTCCATGCACTAACATGTACAAGTACAACCAAAACTACCAAACTTAACAAGCCTCAGATAACCCAAAATGATTTGGGAGTACTACATCGAGCTGTAACTCTGTAAGCCTTTCAAAGAATTTTAAAAAAGAAAAAACAAAACAAAAAAAATGGGGGGAGAGAAAACGGTAAGTGAATCCACAAGATTAGACAGCCATCACCATGCTAGAACTTCAAAACTTCAATTTCCCGAATTTCCCTTTTGTCAGAGAAGCTCCGCGTTTCAAAAGACAAGTTGCTTTCTCAGTGCCCGTCAACCCGGAGCAGGAGCTGTCTCCAAGAGTGATGGCGAAGTAGAGATAGATGATGCAAAGAATAGCTAGCAAGCCCATAGAAGTTAGAAGGAACCGGTGGCGTTGAAGCATTGCCAAGCAGCTCCCTGATTCATCGCCTCGGGAATATAATTTTTTATACGACGGTGAGACTGGAAACACAGTCGTCTGTGACCTCCTGTGAGGTGAGGATAGTTTGTCGTCAAGAGACATAGGTTCTGCTGGAATTTGCACTATCAGCCCCGATTCCTACACCATCGTCAATTCAACTTATTAGTAAGTAGAAGAGCCAAAAAGAAATTTGAACAATACGCTTACATTCTTGCACGCGCACTCACAAACATACACAAAGCATGATAGAGAGCCCCAAGAACAAGCTGAAAAGTGTATCTCTACATTTTATACATATGCATCCTACTGCTAGCATTCATCCCAAGGTGCCCCAGCTTAGCAGCAAGATTATATAAGTTTGAAGGAGCAAATAACTACAACATCAACAGTCATGCCATGAAGATAACAGATTGAAATGTTTTTTTTTTGGGTGGACCCCTCGTTTCCACCGACGGACACCGTAACTAATCCCCTCATTGAATTGTAAGCACCTCTAATGGGTGAGACAACTGGCCTGGATATTTAAGGTTGCTTCATACCCAAAGCCAAGGATCGAACCCTCGCCGTTTGGTTAAGGATGGATGAGTCCCTTACTCCCTTCCACTCAACCACACCCCCCAGGTTAAACAAATTGAAATGTTGAATCACAAAACCAGCAGAGAAAACATAGAGAATGAAAAACTGAAGAATTAAAATAAACGCAGCAATATAGTTAACAAAAATAATACAAAGGTGTCCAGACAGGGTACACATGAAGATTGCAAGGTGCCCAATTTCAATTAGCTAGCTAGATCACCATAGAACTCTAGAGTCCGAAGAGATAGTCTAAGAAAATTGATGTGCTAAGTAACAACACCAGACTATATTGACACCAAAAGTTCTTCTCAAGTTAAATGAAAAATATTCACCATTATATGACCACTTAGAGACCTCGCCCAATCATCCCAATTTGCAGCCTTGTGTTTGAACCTATTTATAAATTCATTAATAGCTCCGAGCAGCAAACGACATAAGGTCTGTCACCCCTCACAATCAGGCATTGTTGTTGTATACATATACTACAGCATTGAGGATATAATAATCACACAAAATACATTTTATCATACGTTAAAGTTCCTTTCTAGTTTAATCTTTGTACTTGGGTCAGACCAGAAACCTCATGATACCAACCTTCCTTTCACCGTTTCATTCATTCAATCAAAAAAGCAGGCACCGTTTCATTCATTCAATCAGGCTTTTATTTATTTATGTATTATTATCGTGGTTTTTGTATACGTACAAAGTGTACTACACTGAGTATATCATAATCATATATAAGGTTACCAACAAAAAAGCAGGCATGAGGCGTGCTCCGACTCACAAAATCTAGCATGTTCTATACGCCGCCGCCTAGATTACCACCGTAAAAGTTCCGGAAACTCTCATTTAATTTCTCCATAATCCAATTCATGATACGCTTAATTATAAAAGTAATCAAAACGGAAGAAAGCGAATCAAAATCTCACAGAAGAAAAGAGTCACAGCAGATCCGGAAAATGACAACGCATGCATACACATCCACGCAGAAATGAAAAGTGAGAGAGAGAGAGCAAAAACGGACTTACAATTTGAGGAAAATGGAGACGAAATTCGGAGCGTGAAATCGATGAAAATGGAATGAGAATGACGTATGAACGGGAACGGCGGCTTTCCGGAAGTGCGTCACGGCTGGTTTGGAGAGCGTAGAGCGATGAGGTGAGTGCATATTTTGGGTTTGTGACTCGCCGGATATTTCTATACACCGTTGAAAGATTTGACGAGTGTGAGTCCTCGGAGTCGTTGAAGGGTCCAATCGTAATTCGGCCTATCCATGGGCTGATTTCTGTGGCGCTCCATCATATCTCACTTTAAAAATCACAGTCACGCTCTCACGGACTATATAACAAATTTAGAAATACAACGATGAACGATATCCACTTTTTTATTATTATTATTATTATTATTATTATTATTATTATATTATTATTATTATTATTATTATTATTATTATTATTATTATTATATGAAAAAAAAAAAAAAGAGGTCAAATACACTTTCAAATTATTCGTGATTTATTAAAATTTGTAATTAAGTATCTCAACTTGTGAAATCAGTACAATTTAACTCATTAGCAAGTAATCTTCCAATATAAATCGAGGTTTCTATTGTGGAACACAATAATTAATCCTTTCGCTGAATCTCTATTGAGTGAAACGGTTGGCTTCGAGATTTAAGATTACTCCATAACCAAAGTCAATGATTCCCTCGCTGAATTATAGGCATATCTATTGGGTGGGACAGTTATCCTCGAGATTTAAGACTGCTACATATCAAAAGTCAATGTCTTAACGTTGGTTAAGGATGGATGACTCATTTCCATTCAATCACCCTTCGCTTTTGATGAATGTCAATCAAGTATCATAAGTAAATCCCCCAGTTCAGGGTCATTCTTTGATACTCGCATGAGCTTAGCTCAATGGTTTAGTGAGCAGTATTTTGGTTTAGTGAATAATATTTGGAATAAGAGACCAAGGTTCGAACCTCGACGGTGGTAGTGTAGAAATTATATCAAAGTGGACAGATTCCTTGTGCGCACTGGCATTTGGCCATGTCCACTAACCCAGTCACCGTGATTTACATCCTCCCACATGCTCTGTGGGTCGGAATGTGTAGGACCCTTAGGGTTGGGGATTCAGCCTTTTGGGGTAAGGGTCATTCTTTGATAAATGATCAATAAGCATTGCAGGAAAGTGATTAATTAAAAAAAATGCAGGAAGAGGGAGGAGAGACTCAAGCAACTATTGGTTAAGATTCATTCAATTCAATTCAATGTATTCATATGATGCATCCCTGATCTGAATACTGAACCAACCTTAGCATATCTAGATCAAAATTATAAAAATATTTCTCTCTAGGGTGGGAGTGCGGATAAAACAAAGCCAGTTAAAGTCTGCTTTCCACCTGGGGAAGTACAGTATAAACCATCATTAACATCTCTTTTACATCTCTCCAACCTCTAAACCACACCTCTCTTGGGAAAAACTCTGCCTGAAGAATGTAGCTAAGAATTTAAAATCAATCAGTCCTCGTAATCGCCTGAATGCTCCAGCAGATAGTTTGCTGCCAATTCCTCATTGCGGTCGCACGCTAAAAACGCCTCGATCACTAGTGCTCTATCGAAACCCATGGCCTCAAGCTAAGGAAACACGGAAATCAAGAACTTCTCGTTACTATGTATGCGTAATGTAAGAGTGTGATGGACAAAGAGATCAGAGTGGTTTTCTTACCCTCTCAATTGCCTCCTGCTCTGCTGGCGTAACACTGACTGTATGGGGCATAATATCTTGCTCGGGCTGATCATCAAATATGTCCCTGCAAGAAATTCAAATACATTAATATTGAGAATGCTTCTCACAATGTAATCCATCAAATATGTCGGGCTAACCAACTTGGCTCCAAGAACAATGACCTTCCCTTAGGCCGTTTGGAAAACAGGAAAATGACTTCTGGCAAATGTTTTCCGGAAAATGAGTCATTTTCCGGAAAACATTTTCCTTTCCAGTGTTTGGTTGCATTCTGGAAAATATAGGAATGGATGGAAACTGAGGAATTAAAAGTAACGACGGCAGCAAAGGCAACCATGTTTTGAATGTTGGCGGAAAATGACTTACGCCAAAATCACAAAAATGCCTACATTTTCCCAGTCAACGGAAAATGTTTTCCGTTGACTGGATTTTCCTACTGCATCCAAACACTGAAAACTCGGAAAACATTTTCGAGAAGTCATTTTCCGGGTTTCCAAACAGACCCAAATAGAAACAAGATGTCAGGTACATGGGAAATATGATGATGGGATGACAAAATCACAAAATCAGTCACTTTATACAGCAAATTACTCTAATACTCTAACAATATCAAATAATGAATTGAGCATCGATCCACAATACAGAACCACTATGATTTCCAGCATAATTGAGCAGATGCATCATTTGCTAATACAATGATCAGCATAATACATCAAAGGACACGCACAAAAAGGGAGCAAGCTTGGAAGACTCACCCCTCAGAACCATCAACAGGCTCATTGATCAACTGGAGGAACTCTTGATGGTGCTCTTGTATTGTTCTTAAAAGATGGGGGTTTTGCTTTCCTAGCTCCTGAAGCATAGGCTGCAAAAAAAAAAAAAAAAAGGACCAACTGTAATGCCAGAATATATCAAAAACCAAAGAAACACAACAAGTTTAAATCGGAATATTGACCTGCAGGATTTGTGGGTTAGCTTGAACCATTGAACGCAAAGCTTGGAACTGGAATGCAAAGAAGACACTTTCAATAACTTCATTAGAATTAGGTAACACATGCATTTATTTAGGCTTATAAACAAGATGACTTGGGAAGATACGAATCATACCTGTTGGTTGTTTCTGAGAAAATCAAGGGATCCAAGACCAGCACCAGCAGCCCCAGCAACCTGCTCCTATAAAATTTACCGTGTATAGTCTATAAGAAAATGCAGGCATATATTATGATGAACAAGAGAAAACCATAACAGACCTGAGGGAACAAATTCAAGGGAGATGAATTCGGTCCTCCCGAAACAGGGATAGCATTAACTGCACCTTGAGCTGCAGCAGGCCCACCACTCTGAGCCACGGGTAGAGCAACTTCAGCTGTTTCTGGAATCCCCTATAAACAAAACACCAGTGTGTAAATACTAACAGAAGTTCGTGTTGCAAGGATAGACATGGGTAAAGGCACAAATAACTTACTGAATATAAATAGTCAATAGCTCTTTCTGGGTTGTTATAAGCAGCACGAAGTGCACGTGTAACCGTTTCCTTGTCCCAATTTCCACCACCCATATCCATAATTTGTTGTATGGTCTGCTCAAGATTATTACCAGCTACTAAATTCGAAGCAGCTTGACTATAAGTATCAGAGGGAACACTACAACAACAGAACATCACGTGAAGTCAGCCACTTGAGCAAAAAATGTGAGTCAGAGAAGCTTTGATCACAAACAAAATCCTAGAAGGGAAAAATAAAAATTATATCATTAGATGGATGAGCAGTTTGTACCTAGCCGTTGCAGCATCAGAAGCAGATGCTACACTCTTAGGGGCCCTACAAGTTAAAATTCACGGCAGAAATTAGTGGTTGTCCAACATAACAAACAGCTAAAGCAAACTAACATTTGTCATTTAAACTCACGGTGCTGAAGAAGGAACTTCAGCTGGTGTAGTAGGATTAGAAGTTGGAGCACCAGTTGCTGAGGGCTGTTTAAAGGAACAGTAGGAGAAAAAGAAGAGATATCAAACATGACAAAACACATAGGGGTACAATAATATCTCGGGATAAAGGTCAAATAGACCCTCCAACTATATACCAAAGTGCAATTAGGTCCTTGAACTAAAAAAACCTCCAATTGAACCCTTAAACTTATTAAAACAGTGCAATTAACCCATTTGACCTGTAATAGCATGTTACCCCAAGTCACCTGCCACGCAGGATGCCAAGTAAGATGTCACGTGGATTAATTTTTTTTTTTAAAAAAAATAAAAATCAACAACGACGCTATGGCAGCCACAAAGAAGCCGGCAGGCTTCTCCATGAGATTTGAACAGAGAAGCCATTGGCTTCCGTTCAGATGCTGGCTTCGTCGTTCAAATCAAACAGAGAAGCCCGCCAGCAGCTTTTTTTTTTTAATATAGTTTTTCTTTTTAAATTTTCTTTTGAATCAAATGCCACATCAGATGCCAAGCAAGCAAAATTTACGGGTTTACCTTTTGGTAACATGTTAAATATGTTAATTGCACAAGTTTAATCAGTTTAAGAGTTCAATTCGAAGATTTTTTTGTTTGAGGGCCTAATTGCATTTTGGTATATAGTTGGAGGGTCTATTTGACCCTTATCCATAATATCTCGGGCTATGATATGATCAACACACCTGTGCAGATGATGTCCCTTACGGGTTTACCTTTTGGTAACATGTTAAATATGTTAATTGCACAAGTTTAATCAGTTTAAGAGTTCAATTCGAAGATTTTTTTGTTTGAGGGCCTAATTGCATTTTGGTATATAGTTGGAGGGTCTATTTGACCCTTATCCATAATATCTCGGGCTATGATATGATCAACACACCTGTGCAGATGATGTCCCACTTGATCCTACAGTTTTGCTCTGCATAATAAAAATATTTACTAGAAAATTGGTCCAAACATCCAATATAAATTATATAACAAGTCTGGATGCAATATTCTGGTACTCATACTACACAAATTATTCGGGACAATGTGGGCAAAAGCACTAGCAAAAGTAGTTGCAAATTTGCAGCAACAACCAGATGTTAAAAGGAAATTTTACCTTGCTAAGCATGACAACAAGAAATCCATCTTCAGAAACATTGTTTTCAGCCAACGTGCTCTCATCTTTCAATACTTTACCATTATGAATAAGTAACTGCTGCCCACATGGATAGCTGTCCTTTCCCTGTGCATCTTCAATGTTTTTCTTTACAGCCATAATCTAAAATTTTAAAAGGAATATCCCAGTCAATTCAAAACTCATCTGAAGGATAATAGATCAAAAGGAATCCCACTTTTTCATTGATTTTTTTTATCCCATTACAAGCAAAGCACATGTGACCTGGAAACTATGTTGTTTGGAGTGATGCATGATACTTTGATGTGCCAAGAAGTTCAAGGACTTTTCAAT